GGAATTTTTAGTCTTAGAATGGTATCTAACTGTGGAAGAATTGTAAAGGTGAGGGATAATATAATCCTGTCTAAATTTTATCTGTTGCAATTGTAGACCTTTCTCGGTGTATTTACATTAAAAGAGAGTAAATGAAGTTCATATTCCTAAAATCCATATGCAAATTGCTGCTAATATGGTGGTGGATATTACAGTATATCGGATGCTAAATATTTGTAATGTATACCCAGTTCAAATGCACGAAGACAAAGCTTGTGTGCATGTTGTCTTTTGATTTTCTTGTCTCTGCTGTAACCCCCTCCATTGCTCCAGCGACAGATCAAAAAGCTGTATCTTAATAGTGATGTGGTGGCATGCCAAAAGACATATTATACCAGTGGAGAGGATTATAGGGCAACATTGAAAAAAGGGGTGAGTGTTTGCAGGTGTCTTGATGTTTAACTTAGGCTCCTCCAACTCTGCTAGCTGACTTCTGACCTATTTCTCTGCTACAGTTCTCGTAACTCAAACCATGGTTTTGAAGAGATCCTGCTCTGCTTTAATCTGGGTCAACAAACTGTTTAGGGGGGGAAACTTGTTTTGCAGATTGCTCAGTCCTATGTGGTGGGAGCATCCATATTTGAAATTCTGTTAAGAGGGAGCTAGTGGCATGTTTCACCAAGTCATGGTGGGAGTTGGCCTGTTTTTGCATAACTTAATAACTGTGCCTTTAACTTAAAAAAAAATATTATGTGCTGATATGCCTAAGTAGACATTCAAAGCTGAGTGCCTTTTCCAGAAATGAATAATACTAGCATCACTTGGAAATTTGGGACCTTATCCTTGTAGGTTTGGTTCCTGTAAGGGAACAGCTGCATATTCCTGCATTGCAGAGAGTTGGACTCGATGGTCCTCAGGATCTCTTCCAACTCTACAATTATATGATTTTGCCCAGTCACTTTGCTGTAGCAGCAGCAAAGCATTAATATCGCTTTACCATCCATGTAGTATATAGTCTCTGTGTTTCTGCACTACACTCTTGCTTGTTCAGATCAGGATCTCTGCTAGATCAGGTCGAAGTGAATATGTCCACAGATATGTTTGGTCCATAATGTGGTGGCGCAGCAGTTGTATGGGGCCACACAAAAAAGGAGCTTGTGGATTGATTCTGCAAGCACCTTCAAAGCTGAGAATAATGTTGGAGACTAGGCACTCTTCCCATCACAGAATTCTAAAGGTAAAAGTAAATGTGCCCCTGACCATTAGGTCCAGTTGTGGACGACTCTGGGGTTGCGGCGCTCATCTCGCTTTATTGGCTGAGGGAGCCGGCGTACAGCTTCCGGGTCATGTGGCCAGCATGACTAAGCTGCTTCTGGCGAACCAGAGCAGTGCACAGAAACGCCGTTTACCTTCCCACTGTAGCGGTACCTATTTATCTACTTACATTTTGACGTGCTTTCCCATCGCGGGGATTTGAACCGCCAACCTTCTGATCAGCAAGCCCTAGGCTCTGTGGTTTAGACCACAGCGCCACCCGCATCCCATCACAAAATTCTGGCAGTGACCAAATGTGGTTAACAATTATGTGTCCTTGGTTCAGCTGAGAGTGCTATGTTACATTGCAACTTGTTTTCTTTTTAAAAAGTTTTGTTTTAAAATACACAAAATGCTTTTGGTTTTGGTTATAGTGTTAAGTTTGTTTTGGTCATGTGAGTGGATGCCCTTACAGGGTGACAAACTAGCAACTGTTCATGCTGACAGTGGAGTTGTTAATGGGAGAATTTCAACTTCCCATGTTCAGAATAATTTAAGTTAATCTAAATGTGTATTGACAGTAAGAGGATCCAGAGCAGGCACAATTGTAATCTCCCTGTGGCCAGGTCATTTTATTGACCTGTGGTTTGACTATTTTGTGATTACTGTGTGTTAGCTCTGCGTAACTCCTATGGAAGACACCCTAAAAACTAGCTAGAGTACAGCTGTTTTGTCTGCTGTTCTGCAATCCATTCCTTCACTGAGCAGATAGTTTTGTTGCTGCTATGTTGAAATGCAAGGTGTTACTGAGTCCATTAAAACTTTTTGTCAGGAAAGCAGCAATGGGGGGGCTGGCTGATGTCACTAGCCATGATGGAGAGCCCATTTCTGCAATTTGTTAATACATTAAGATTTAATTGAGGAGGTGCTTGCAGATTTACAGTCCATTGCTGAGTGGCACCAAAACCCGTATGAGGCAGAGGCGAGCTGAGTACATCTGTTCTGCTTTTGAAAAGATAAGTCACAGAGTCATTCCACATCAAATCAATGCAAAAAACGAGGGTTTCGTCACCCACCGTCTCGGATTTTGATTAAACTTGGTGTACACCCTTCCCTTATGGTTGAAAGAAACCCCCTACATTTTTTCCCTCTATCTTAAATGGTTTTAATTTTATAGCACTTCAAAATTTCATGAAATCTGCGTTGTCTGTCCCTCTTGAGACCCTTGGTACATGTATATTCCCACCCCCTCCATAACCAATGATCAGATCTCTTTGAAATTTTACACAGAGCTCAATAAGAGGATGAGATAGAAGGGAAAAATTTAAGGGGGCTTCCTTCAACCAAAATCCAAGATGGTGGGTGACATGACTGTGTTGACATGACGTGGAATGACCCCACAGTTACTTAGATCTTCTTCTTGCATTTATTACCCAGCAATAGTACATTGCAAGACAGAGCAAAAGGACTATAAGCGAAACTGGATATTAATTTTAGGTGCATAGAGTCAACAGAAGCCAATTGTGTGATGTGATCTGGTGGTTAGCGGGCCTGTTGAATTCCCCACAAACGACGTACCATCATGGGCGGTAGAAGGTTATTTTCTTCCAAAGGTGAACCATGCCTGCTACTTGGATGTTTTATCTGGTCCTAATAAAGGCATGTTACAGCTGGATTTGGATTTATCCCCTAATGAACCAATGAACCTAATGAGCCACCCGCTGTCTGAATGAAAAGAAAGTGTGTGCGGGGGTGTTTGTTATATGCATATGCCTCTTGCTATGACCTTTTATAGCCTATGAACAATATTCTAAACACTAATCCTTAAATCAATTTCTTTGCTCCAAACACCTCCCCATCTTTACCTGCCTCTTGTTTCCTCTTTCTTTGCCATATGTTCTTCTAGTAGCAGTTAGTATTTGTTTCTTTGGGGCTCTTTTGGAGACCTTATCAGCCCTTGCGTTGAGTTGCATCACCTCATTTTAAAAGCCCATTTCAGGTTGCATAAATGTTTTGCATTGTTTTTTCAGTAGACTATTAGGAGTGCAAGGGACGCGGGTGGCGCTGTGGGTTAAAGCCTCAGCGCCTAGGACTTGCTGATCGAAAGGTCGGCGGTTCGAATCCCCGCGATGGGGTGCGCTCCAGTCGCTCGGTCCCAGCGCCTGCCAACCTAGCAGTTCGAAAGCACCCTCGGGTGCAAGTAGATAAATAGGGACCGCATACCAGCGGGAAGGTAAACGGCGTTCCGTGTGCTGCGCTGCCTCGCCAGATGCGGCTTGTCACGCTGGCCACGTGACCCGGAAGTGTCTCCGGACAGCACTGGCCCCCGGCCTCTTAAGTGAGATGGGCGCACAACCCTAGAGTCTGGCAAGACTGGCCCGTACGGGCAGGGGTACCTTTACTTTTATTAGGAGTGCAGAATTCTGAGAGAGGGCGAGGGTCAAAGGTCCTACTTGCTGACTAGCTGTATAGTAAAGAAATTGTAATGAGCTATCCTAGCTGGGGGAAACCAATTGTAACATGAAAGGGATGGGGATTTCTATGTGCTCATTGGCACTCTCGATTCTTGTGATTTATGTGTTCCTTCTCAGATGAAACAAAACAAACAAAAGAAATCACTGGGTTAAAGCTGTCCAAAAGTCCAGAGGTAGCACTATTATCAATTTACGATGGGGCGGAAGGTTTACAGGCTATGAAGGACTTGCTCACAGATTTATTGACAGCTGCACGAATTATTATAGCTAGGAAGTGGAAGGGGCAAGCAGAATATAAAATGGAAGAATGGTATAAAGAGGTGTGGGATATAGCTATTAATGATAAATTAACATGTGCTATTAAGGCAAATGGGGAATATGCAGGAGAAATGATTTTGAGGAGATAGGGAGGGTGTTTGTAGAATTTGTACTGTTGAAATGGAAAGGGGTCAAACCATCGCAAGAGGTGTTGAAATTTTGGGAGGTTGGATAGTTACAATGGGATGGTCTCGGGGGTGGGGTGCACATTTTTATTATTATTTATTGATGATTATTACTTTGTCAAAATTTGAAAAAAAAAGAAAACAAGCAAAATTTTGGATTTTGAATCAGGATAGTAATTCTGGAGCATTTTAAGTCTTTGTATTGTTTTAAAAGGGAACATTAGCAACCGATTAAAACTTACCCAAGAATGACAACAGGTTCATTCAAGCAGTGGACAGTCAAGGATGGGCAGTCATATTAGAGAAGTTCAGCAAAATATTTCATCCACACTCATTGTTCAGGTTAGATTTAAAGTGGTATACTATGGGAGTTCCATTAAAACAAAAATGGCTGGTTTTGCCGTTCTTAAGTTGTATTTCCTTTCACTCTGCATCTCATTGTCTTGATTCTAATCTTCACATCCTCCTGAAGCTTATAATCTCTTCTCCCCTAAAATGAAACTAAACTTCCAGCATCTGCAATGAATTGCAGCCCAACAAATTGGATGCAGTGTGATGAGAAACCTTGAGGCAGGATCATGAAGTAGTCAACCTGTGTGGTGGCAAGGTAAATTTCTGCTTAGACTGTGCCACATGCGCATAAAATTGTTGGAAGCAGATCAGAAAAAGGGTGAGGGGCTGATCTGGACCTATTCTACAGGAATGTGGTTTAGTGCTGCATCAGAAACGTAGCGTTTTTGCTCTGCAAGGATGTTTTTACTTTTTAAAGCTTGCTCTATGTTTTCAATCTTCAATGGTGAAACGGAGGAGTATGTGCAGTTTTTCAATGAATGTATTTGTTTCATGACAGAGGGACTCCATGAAAGATGACAGAAGAAGTTATTGTTATAGCAAAGTGGGATTACACTGCACAACAGGACCAAGAACTTGACATAAAGAAGAATGAACGCCTCTGGCTGTTAGATGATTCCAAAACATGGTGGAGGGTAAGAAACGCAGCCAACAAAACAGGATATGTGCCATCAAATTATGTTGAGAGGAAGAACAGCTTGAAGAAGGGTTCCTTGGTTAAAAATCTGAAAGACACATTGGGTAAGTCCTTTTGGAGTCTTGCATTAATTCTTTTCAGAAACCAATTATGTTAAAACGCCTGTAGGGCGAACATCATGTCAGCATTGCATATGAAAAGGAGTGTGGATATTTGCTCTTAATTCGGAGCTCATAATTTTAAGCAGCAGAGAATTTGTTTTTGTAAGAAGCTATTTTTGTATTATCAAGAGGAAATGCAAGTAGAGAGAAATTTTTCTTTTGTCCTTAATCTGTTTATCAGATTTTCGTAAGAATGCACACACCACACTCCCTGTTTTTCCCTACAAAAATAAAGACTTTAGAATATGTCACGTGTACTGGTAGCGCCAACACTTTGGATTGTGTTTTTTGTTGGTATACTTGTGTTGAGTCGTGGACGTGGGCAGTTGTTGTGAAATTTACAAAAGCTTTTACGTATCTCTTAATGGCCTTTATTTTTTAATTTCTCATGGGGAGTTCACTGATTAAAGAAGAATGACTGGTGATCCTGCTTTTAGCTGGATTGGTCTCCTTTCATGGTAACTTTCAATTTGTTAGACTCGTCTGAAACTTTTGAGTGGTATTGGACTAAGTTATACTTGGGCCCATTAATGTCAGTGGGTCTATTCTATCTTAGGTGTGCTCATTACATTCAGTGAGTCTACTCCTGAGTTGAACTTCCTTGAATACCACTCTATCTCTGCCTCAGCTACCTCTGTGTGGTGCAGCCTGTGGGCTCCTGGGCTTTGTTTTATAGCATGCTGAATTTTCTCTAGTCTTGTACCAAAGTGATGGCGAGAGTTGAATGATCTCCAATTGCTACATCGGGAATTTCTTTCCTTAAAATTCTCATGTTATGCTTTTCGTTCTACTTTAACCATAAGTGGCATTTGCTCAATTTTATGTGATCGTCAAAGAAGCCGTACTTTGAGGATAAATATTGTGTCTCTGAGTCAGAGGTTTTCAACCTTTTTGGAGTCCACGACTCCCTTGACCAACTACATTCTTTCTCTGGCACCCCTGTTGGGCTCAGGAGCCCAGTTATGTCACTCCTTGCCTGCAGAGCTGGCAACCCCTCACCCTTTTTTGAACACCCTCCCTTGTGGAGTGTTCGCTCAGCCTCCTCTCCTTGAGAACCTTCTGGGCAGCCGCTGCTGCCACCCCTGGTCTCTGAACTTCTCCCCACAACCATAGTTGAGAGGCAGAGACACAAGAGGGCATCAGAAGAGGGAGGGAAGGAAAGAGGGACAGGGGCCAGTGTTGCAGCACCTCTGACCAGCCTTCAAGGCAAAATCACTCTTCTAAGTGATGCCTGTTGAAAATCACTCCTCTAAGTGATGCCTGTTTCCCTGTCTTTTATAATCCTATACCTTTTGTTTGTGTGTTCCTTCCTCTCCATGTTTCTATATTTATTACTACCATTTAGTTGCTGCTATGTTTTGTCCTTTGCCGAATTCAGTTACTGCCTACTGGAGACCTAATTTTTTATCTTTACATGAGTGAGCAGAAATGCAAATCTGTGGTGGGAGAGGTGGTACATTTCATGTGATTATTTGCAAATATGTACCAGAAGCACATAGTCTTTCTCTCTCATATGGGATTTCTTATTTATGATGCAACTCATTGCTTGCTTTAAATGTACTAGACTGAGTTGCCAAACTTACGCAGTTTCCTGATATCATTTTGCCGTGTTCCTCCACTTCCACTTCACATAATTGGCTGTGATTGGCAGAATGGAAAAGTAGACAGGATAATGATGCTGGGGTAATGATAATAACTTTTCCTAGTTCCCCCAATAAATTTAATCGAATCTTTTCATCATACAATCCAATAAAAAAACAAACTAATCTAAATTGAAAGCAAAAACAAAGAAGAGCAAAGAAAAAAGAAGGCCCTCACTCAAAGGTAGATCTCAATCCTTTTCTCACTGAGAAGTGGGTGGAACCTCTCACCTGAGAGCTTTTCTTTCTTCTCCCAGCCCCCTCACCTTAGGAAATCTTCCCTGCCCTGCCTCTCACACAGGGTCCTTCACTAGCCAGCCTTCAACGTTCATGTGCATACGATCCTGTAAAGATGGTGCCCCTATCTTCCCTCTAAGAATTCACCATGCCCCAGCATCTACCAATAAAAATATATGTTTAAAAAGTGTCCTTTTGATGACACAAAGCAAGAGTTTTTACCAGTTAAGATATCATTCCCACCCACTATGCCCCTGCCTGGTATTGCAGTGAACCAGCTTAATTTTGCCTGTTGATAGTGAGACAAAAACCACATCATGATCCATCTCTAGCCCTAGCAGTAGGTAACTATTAATCTGGAATGGGGATACAGATCCTGCCCACCTCAAAATGCTCATGCACACAGCCCAACAGGGCCTGGGTGAGAACTCCATTGTAGATAAGCAACCGAGTGTGAATTTGTATCAGAACAGAGACATGGTTTATTTAGGTTAGAGTGTCTTGCGTGAAGTGTGATCAGTGCCTTGTCAATCAAAGGTCTTGACTTCATATTCCTTTTAATGAAAATGAGGCTGTATATCTTTGAAGGCAGTAAGGCTTCAGACACATGGTTCTGATGTATAATTAGATGCTGATGTAACAGAACACATTGTGCTCTTTGGTGTTTTGATTGTAGTTGCTGATAGTTGTTTAAACAGAAAAACCGAGCAAATGCCGGAATTAACAGCATTTGCCCAATAGCGAAGATTTGTTTACCTCTTTATAGCAACATAGCTTCTTTTCCTTTTTCACTCACAGTTCATTTCCGGAAAATTTGACCAAAAAAAATTAAAAGGCACATTTATCCCAATGCTCACCAAAGCATGTGTATGTAAACTAATAATATATAGCACCAAAAAGAGTACTGTGTATTCATCCAAGCAACGTACAAATTATTTATAAACCATGACTTCATCAATTTTAGATGTCTCATTCAATGAGTTGGGAATGATAATTTCAAAAAAATAAAAAGTGAACTTTTACCTTATCCTAATAGATGTGATGGGACGCGGGTGGCGCTGTAGGTTAAACCACAGAGCCTAGGACTTGCTGATCAGAAGGTCGGCAGTTCGAATCCCAGCAATGGGGTGAGCTCCCGTTGCTCAATCCCTGCTCCTGCCAACCTAGCAGTTCAAAAGCACGTCAAAGTGCAAGTAGATAAATAGGTACTGCTCCAGCGGGAAGGTAAACGGCGTTTCCGTGCGCTGCTCTGGTTCGCCAGAAGCGGCTTGGTCATGCTGGCCACATTACCCGAAAGCTGTACGCCGGCTCCCTCAGCCTATAGAGCGAGATGAGCGCTGCAACCCCAGAGTCGGCCACGACTGGACAGGGCTCAGGGGTCCCTTTACCTTTACCAATAATGGTCAGGGGTCCCTTTACCTTTACCTAATAGATGTGATGGGAGATCCATGATTAGGATCTACTCTGTTTTCTTTTTCTTTTTTAAAAGAATAATGGCTGCTTGGTCCCTGAATTGGATTGGCACTGGCGAAAGATGCCAATCTCCCCCCCCCTTCCCCCCATGTCAGTTAATAGCTGGCAGAAGGAAGACCATGAAGTGAGGGAAGGTTTAATCTCTTCCTGCAGTCCCTACCATGTTAAGGTCTTATTTGGTTCCTAATAAATTCCTTGGGTTGTGTTTTTTTATAAAATGGAGATCCTAATGGATCACATGTATTTGCGTCTTTAAGAAATGTGAAGAGGGGCAGCAAGACAGAAGGAATGATGAAAATGGCAAGGCTCCATCCATTGACCTCTGTTCCTGCCCACTTCACTGTCTCCATCCAGCTCAGCCACATTCAAGATAGGTTTAGCTTCTAGGGGAGCGAATTCTGTAATTGGTAGGTCAGCCATGGAAAGCTCCTCTTTATGTACACTTGCCATTTAGGTCTAAATGCTTTATAGGTCAAATCTAAGTTTCATGAATTGTGCCTGGAAGCCAGAGTTTCAGCGTGCCAATACTGTGTGCTCGCAATGACCTCTCTGGTTAGAAGGCCCACCACATTTATCACTAGCTTCAGCCTTGCTCAAAATATATTTATAGCCTTGGGTTCATGAGGGCATGAATTGCTTGATATGAATTTTGAAAGCCAGATAGTGTCAGTGAAAATTGTTCCTGGCTTTCAGCACTCTGAAATCTTGACTGTAGGTTTTGTCAGATGTTGTGACAGTAAAACACAACAATTTACTGTACCTGAAACACTTTGGAAATATATATTTTTATACTTTTGTCCAGAATTTGTTTCTAATTGTTGCTGTGGAGTCTTTGTTGAGGATATCCCTGCCTTTTAAAAGCACTTAAATGCACCAATACACTGAGTATGGCGATTATTTCAGCAATATTTGGATTTGGTAGCACAGATATTCACAGTTATTGTCTTAACAGTTTTATGATTGTTTGAAGCTAAATACGCCGTATGCCTGTCGCTTGGTTTTTTTCTTTTTTTTCTTTTTTCACTTAGCTTCCTGTTTGTTTGAAAGTTTGCTGGAAACTGTCAGTTATTTCCTTTTTTGAAGCAACGTGCTTTTGTTAGCAGCCAGGATGCCTCAGGTGCCGCCCCTCCCCATTTCACCACCAAAGGAAATGTAGCATTTGTTCAGATGTTGGCTTTGTTGTCTGAGGACTTTCACTAAGCTATACCCTTCCCAAAAGGGCTTTTTTATTCTGTTAATGTGCACTCGCCCCTTTTAAAGTCTTGGTTTGCATGGCCATTCTGTCTGGAGTTAATAGGATTCTGACCAAATGTTTACAAACAACTCTTGAGCCTACAGCCTTAAATTTGAGGGTCCTCCATTTTGTACACAGTTTATTAGCCTTTTCCAGTTCAAAACCACCCATTTATTTTTATTGGTTGATTGGTTTTTGTGGGCCTGTTTCCAAGGTGTCCAGAAGAAACGGTTCTGATATCTGGTTTCAGGTACAAAAATAAATCAGGGTTCTTGTTTTCCAATTGATTTTGAGAGCTGCTTCACACTGGATGTCATCACTAGATACTGGCATTATTAAATTGCATGCATGCATGGATA